GCAGCCCGGTCTCACCGGTGTTGCTTCCCTGCTCTTGCCCCAGCAGTCAAACCTGGCAATGTGAGGAACATCATCCAGCACTTTGAGAACAACCAGCATTATGACAGCCAGGAGCCTGGCACGCAGCGTCTCTCCACCGGCAGCTTCCCCGAGGACCTGCTGGAGTCAGACAGGTGGGGGACACATGGGGGACAGCCCCTGCCTTCGGGGGGTCCGGTGGCAGGTTTCGGTGGGTTTGCGTGCACAAGGACATCCCTGCTTGTCCCACCAGGCTCAGCCTGTTCTTGGCGTTGTCTCCCTGATGCAGTTCCCGCGCTGAGGTCAAGCTGGGCCGCTCGGAGAGCTTGAAAGGCCGGGAGGAGATGAAGAAATCCCGGAAAGCAGAAAACGTGCCTCGGTCCCGTAGCGATGTGGACATGGATGCTGCTGCCGAGGCCACGAGGCTTCACCAGTCAGCCCAGTCAGCATCGTCATCCGCTTCCAGCCTTTCCACAAGGTGGGAGACGCCGTCTGAGCCCTGGGCGGGGAGGACCTGGGTTCTCCTCGGCCTCTTGGGCTTCAGAGGGGAGCTGGGATGGCTGGGGGTCTGAGATCTGAACCCCTTGGGCTGGGGTCTCTTGGGAAAGCTTTTGCTAAACCGGTGGCTCAGGGCAGAGCCGCAGCCCCACAGAGTGGGGTGGTCCTGGCCACACAGCACCCGGCTGCCTGCAGAGCCTCCCAGACGGTGTTTGCCAGGGAAAACCAGGGAGAATTGGGCTTTAATTGCCATTTGTGCCCCGAGCCCCTCTCGCAGCCGGTAGTGCCAGACCCACGTCTGGAGGAACTTACAGAAACGCTATGGGTGCTGCCCCATGGGGTGCAGCGATGGGAGGAGAGGGTGGGCAAGGATGTCAGGAGATGAAGGTGACTCTCCCATCCCTCCTTAGGTCGCTGGAAAATCCCACCCCCCCGTACACGCCGAAGATGGGACGCAGGTGAGTGGCCCAGCCTCCCTCTGTGCTGTCTCTACCGCGCCGCCCCGAGCCGGACGGGGTCTTCGGGAACAGTTTTCCTGCAGCATAGGAGAGTCACTGTAGGGGTGTGCCGGGGCTGTACCCCCACTTTGGGGGTCAGAGGGGCTCTGTTTGTGCTTTCCTAGCTTTCCCCACCCGTCAGCAAGCCTTGACAGAGCACAAGGGGGTGCCCAGGGCTGCCCCGGGCGGGAGCCCCCTGCTAGTTCTCCATCCTCCCGGGGGCGAGGGGGCACCTCTGTTCCCTTGTGTCTCACGCAGGAGCTTAAAGGACCCATATAGATGTCTGCTGGGGGACCTAGTCTGTTAGCTCAAGAGTCAGAGGCTTGTACTTCTTGTGCTGAAGGCCCCGGGTTCAAGCTGAAATAGGGCCCAGGTAGATATTGGCTGTACTGGGAGCACTGTGGGGTGGACTGGTTGGATGCGGGTGTTGCAGAGTACTCCCACCGCCGCCTTTCACCCTCGCAGGAGCATCGAGTCGCCCAACCTCGGGTTTGGCGTGGATCCCTTCCTGCCTCATCTCCTGGAGGACGAGCAGGGCCAGCTCTCCGACCTGGAACCCGAGCTGGACTCCCAGAACTGGCAGCACACGGTCAGCCGGGAGCTGGTGGCCAACCTGCCGCAGAAGGAGATCGACCGGCAAGAGGTGATCAACGGTAAGGAGCAGGGGGCACCCCGGGGATGCGAGGGACCCCCCCAGCAGCATCCCGCAGCACCGCGGGGCTCCCCACGGCGCTTCTCCACCCCCGTGCCTTTTGCACAGAGCTTTTTGCCACCGAAGGGTCTCACCTCCGCATCCTCCGAGTCCTTGACCTCCTCTTCTACCAGCGGATGAAGAAGGAGAGCCTGCTGTCCTGGGAAGAGCTGGCGCTCCTCTTCCCCAACCTCCCTGACCTGATAGAAATCCACAGTAAGCCTCATCCTGCTCGGATCCTGCTCTGCCTTTGGGAATACTCCCCAGCAGTGGGAGCAGGGGGTGGCCCACGGCTACGCGGGGCTCCGGTGTGCTCAGCCACCATTCGGACCAGCCCTGCTGATGGCATCATACCATCCCGCCCCTCCAGCCTCTCCTGTCCCTCTCCCGGCAGCAATCCAGAGCCTGATTTTTCTGGGCTCTGCCAGTGCCCAGTCTGTACCAGCATAGCACGTTTTCAGGCTGTGCTTTTGGTGTCACACTCCTTGGCACAGTGCCTCTGACGGCAGCGATGGGCTCTCGGCCCCTCCTGCCTGCATCCGTGCTGGAGAGCTGGCAGGGACCCCCAGGACAGGCAGCTCCACGGGTGCTGCAGGGGCAGCTGGGGGTGGCCCCAGCGTGAGCCCTGTCTTCTCTCACATCCTCACTCAGATTCTCTCTCCGAATCCATGAAGAAGCTCCGGGAAGAAGGACCAATCATCAAAGAAATTGGGGATCTCATGCTCTCTCGGGTAAGGGGGGACAGGAGTGGTAAAGCCCCCAGGGACATCTTGTCCTGCGGCATGGGGGGGTGACGTCTTAGGGGGGGTGTGCGGTCTGGGGGGGAGGTGACCCCACTGTCCTGTCCTCTGGCCGTGGCTGCGCTCAGAGCAGATGAGCTCGGGGAGTCTTGGGGCTCAGGGCTGAGCCTGGGGGGTGTCTGAGCCTCCTTCTCCCATGCACCCCCCCAGTTCGATGGCCTGGCCAAAGAGGAAATCCAGCAGGTTGCTGCTGACTTCTGCTCTTACCAATCCATTGCCCTGGAGCTGATCAAAACCAAGCAGCGCAAGGAGACCCGCTTCCAGATCTTCATGCAGGTTTGTCCCTCTCCTGGGCCGTCCCGCTGCTCCCCCCAGCTTCCCGCGATCCCACCCAGGGGCTCTCCCTCTGCCCTAGGAAGCAGAAAGCAATCCGCAGTGCCGGCGCCTGCAGCTCAAGGACTTGATCATCTCTGAGATGCAGCGTCTGACCAAGTACCCTCTGCTGCTCGAGAACATCATCAAGCACACCGAGGGTACG